TCTGTCTTAGCCTCTAAGAAGCACAGATATGATCTGCTTAGAGTCTGTCTGTATGTCAGTAATAAACAGAAAACAAAATAACTCCCAGCATTTAGAATAAAAAGTCCACGGAACACCTACAGCTAAAGCTGACAAAAGCTGTGAGAGATCTTGTGTTGTGAATGAGAACGCCCCCAGAGCATCACTTATTTAAACACTTGGAACATAGCTGGTGTATTATCTGGAAGGTTCCAGAACCTTTAAGAGGTGCACCACTGCTGGGGGAAGGGACTCCAGTTGGCGTAACCGTCCAGTGGGTGACGGAACCTTTAGGAGGCAGAGCCCTGCTGCACTGGTGGTAGCTCACCACTGCCTATTCTGTCTTCCTGGGTGCTGACGAAATGTGAGCTGGTAATCTCTGTCTCTGTGTCTCCTCTCTCTGTCTCCTTCTCTCTCTCCCCCCCCCACCGTTTCCTGTTCCTACTGCCATGTCTTCCCACCACTATGAACTGTATCCCTAGAGAGTCATAAGACAAAATACAGCTTTTTTCCCTAAGAGACTTTTGTCAGGGTATTTTATCACAGAAAAAAAAAAAAGATAGATAGATAGATAGATAGATAGATAGATAGATAGATAGATAGATAGAGGGGAAGGAGAGATCTATACAACAAAAATTGCAAAACATTCTGAGATGTAACCTTTTGATGATCTTAAGATATATATATATATATATATATATATATATATATATATATACATATATGTATACATATATGCATATATGAAAAGAAACTCGTGGCCTTCTGCTAGGCAAAAACAATACTGAAATCATTACATATAAATGTAAAAGTTGATAAACTGAATTTCATTGCAGTAATAAACTTGCACACTTAGAAATGTACTATTAGAAAAATGATGAGAAAAAAGTGAACTGAAAATATCTACAAAAAAATAAAACCCACAACACAGACAAAAAAAACTCCATGCCAAATATAAAAGAGCTCTCAAGTCCCACTAAGAAAACAATTGAGGGTGGAGAGATGGCTCCATGGTTCAGAGCACTTGTTCTCTGAAGAGAGCTGGGTTCTTTCTTGGCATCCTCATGTCAACGAACAACTGTTGGAAACTCCAGGTCCAGAGGACTGAAGGTTCCTTCTGACCTCCACCAGCACTATGCACAAATGGTGAACAGACAAAACACCTATACTCATAAAATAAAAATAAATTTAAAAGGAAAGAAAGAAAACAACTCAACAAGTTAAAAAATTAACAAACAAAAACTCAAATACTTTACACATACAAATCCACGGGCATGGCACAGCATCAGCAGTTACTGGCCCACCACCACACCTACCCACACGGTCACAGTCTGAGAGGCAGCCAGGCTCGTCACTCCTCAGCAGCCACTGTGCCTGAAGAGCTGAGGGCATCTTTAGGTAGGAGACACTCCTTGCGGACACAGCTTGTTAGCGTGCCGCCTTAGCTTCCGTGTTCACAAACAAAAGGTTTGGCTTTTGGAGCTTGCGGAGCATCATCTTGGGAAGTCTTTTGTTCTGGCTCTGAATTCCTTGGGTGGCATCCTCTCTGTCCTCCCATCTGTAGCAGCTTGATTCTACTCAGGTACTGAGTCACCTGCCGTGTGGCTTCAAGTATTTAGCTGTCTGAGTTAGTGGGACACTGGGACTGAGCTTTAGTATTTCCCTCTGTCATTTTAGCTAAGTACCATGGAACAAAAGAAAATGCCAACATAACTTATAGCACCCCTGTGAAACTCTACATGTAACAATTATCTTCCCAGTTTCTTGACAGACATTTTAATCTCTAGCTGTTCTATGGAAACACAAGGATGTTTGTTCATAACTAGTCTACTATGAGGCAAAATACTGACTTTGTACAAAACACTAATTTTTACAATTTCTTTAACAACTTAACTAATTCTTTTTATCTGTGAAATCCACATGTGTGATGGTTGTAACTGAAATCAGAAAGTAATCTAATGCCCAAGTGTAAAGATTTTCAAAATCTCAGAAGATATTAGGGGAACAAATTATAGATATTTTCACCAGCGTGCAAGTGTTTTAGTGTTTGTTTTAGTAAAAGACAAAGAGTTTTTTTTTAATAATATAGACAGTTCATGATGACTACCTTCTCTGTGTCCTTATGATACTTCAGTTTAAAATGACACTTTCATATGATGCATGAGTTACTTCTTCAGGAAAAATTCCACTTCAGTCAAGTTTGCCCTTGTCAGCTGCTACTCAACTATGCCTCAGTGTCACTGAGCAGAAAAACCCATGCTTGGAACAAGTAAGTTTTACCACAAAGTTTGAAATAAGCAAGTACGTCAAAACCAGAACAAAATGGAGTTAGACTTGCTAGTATCTGAAATGGTCCTCTTTCTTACGGCACACACAGGAATAAATCTGTAACACTTGTGACGCAAAGATGCTAAGTAATGCTTGAGAGAGTCAATTAAAATTTTAGAAGCATTTTGAGTCTGCATTGATAGAAACAAAGAAAGGTGAGTGCTTCCTTACAGAAATTTAAGTATTAAATGTAGGTAGCAGCAGAGCATTTGAAAAGCTGCTTGACAACCACAGCTGGGGTGACAGAACCACAGACAGAATGCTCTCCTATCCATTGCAGGTGAAAACAAGAGCACAAAATCCTGAGAAGAAACACATAAACACAATCTCGAAAGTATCTTTCTGCAGGAAAGCTACAAAGGGAAAAATAAAAACACCACAGGTGAGAAGCCAGCCCCTTGTGTGACTAAAGTTACCACCAGCACCAGAACAATGCACACCACACACCTCTTGCTGTAACACTCTAAGAAGCATGTTTGTGGAATTTCTTCCAACAAACAAACAACAACGTACATAACTAGACTCTACCTTAAACATGAGATAAGTGAAATGAGGCACAGTCTACACAGCACTGGCCTGGACAGTTCAAAACTGCAATATGGACAGACAACCAAAGACCAGCGGGAGAAGTGTTAAGATTAAAAGACTGATGCGGGCACGGTGGCTCAAGCTTACATCCCAACAACTGGGAGGCTGGGGAAAGAGGGTGCCAGCAGTGTGAAAACCCCCTGGGCTAGAGGGTGAGTCCCACAGCAATCTGAGCAAGGCAGAGCCTGCCTAAAGGGGGTGAAGAGTCAAGAACTAGAGATAACCAAATTTGCTCGACTCACATCAGAATTTAGGCCTAACTTTCCTTTTACTGAATAGGGTATTCCTAGGCAGCTGATGAAATCTGTCAACGAACACAATTTTAGCCTCCTTTATTTAGGAAACATACACTAAAACGCTTAGATAGTAAAGACGAGCCTGCAATGTATTCTTAAGCAATTCATTTAAAATACTCAGATGGCAATGCAGCATAAGAATAAAAAAGCAGGGTTAAGGGGATGGGTTAAGTCAGTAAAGATCCTGCTCCACAAACATCAGGACCTGAACCATCCCCAAAACACGGGTAAGAAAAGCCAGGCATGGCAGCACACACCTGCCATTCTAGCATTTGAAAGGTCGTGCTGACTAGTTTTACGTCAACTTGACAAGTTAGAGTTGTTCGGGAAGTGGGAACCTTCACTGAGAAGATACCTGAGCCAGGCTGGCCTGTGGGGTGTTTTCTTGATTAACGGTTGGTGTGAGAGAGCTCACTGAGAGCAGGGCCATCCCTGGGTAGGTGACACTGGGGTGTAGAAGAAAGCAGGCTGAGCATACAGGAGAAACAAGCCAGCAAGCAGCACCCCTCCTTGGCCTCCGAGTCAGCTCCTGCCTCCAAGTTCTTGCTCTATTTGAGTTCCTGCTCCAACTTTGCCAGATCATGACTATGATGAAGAAATATAAGCAAACAAACCCTCTCCTTCCCAGGTTGCATTTGGTCATGGCATTTCATCACAACAACAGAAACTCTAACTAAAGCGGAGATGCTCGCTGGTCAACTAGCCTAGGCTCTTTGACAAGTTCATGGGCAGGGGGAGACTATGTCTTAAAAATCAAGTGCCTGAGGAATGAGGGTTGAAGTCTGACTTTCACTAGTACACACATATACGAATTTGCTCATACACAAAAAATAATAAGGCAAAAGTGATAAATATTAACATTTAGAGAATGTGAGTAGACTATATAGACTTCCCTGTTTTCCCTCTAAACCTGAAATTATTCCACAATAAAACCAAAGCCAGTTAAAAGGAAATTCCTGCTTTCACTAATAATGACATTAAGACTCTTTAACAGTCTAGATGACAAGTCACCTTCAGACACTCTAACTTTTATTGCTAAAATGGTTTGGGGGCTCTGGGGAAATGATTCATCTAGTAACACGCTTGCTGCCTTAGTATGAAGACATCTTGAGCACCATGGAAGGGCTGGGCACGGTGGCTTGCGTCTGCTACCTGAGCTTTGGGAAGTTAGAGATAAGAGGATCTGAGGACTTGATGGCCAGTCAGCCTAGCAAGATCAGAGTTCCAGGTTCAGAGAGAAGCCCTAACTCAAAGGGTAAGGCAGAGGGTGCTGGAGCAGAGGACCCACAGTCAACCTCTTGCCCACCCAGCATCTACACACACATGTGAAAGGCACACAATTTGAGTCATTGCTCCTAAGGTTAATAACTGTCTTTAAGTACATAAGTTAAATGTGCACACTAAACACTGTAGCAAATGTTCGAAGTATGACGTTAAGAGACTCTGCTGCTGGGTCCCTGGTAACAGAGGTCAAGTCTGTATCACTCGTCACTATAATGATAGTGGCTGGCACTCAGTAAATATTCCAATCTCTACTACCTGCTGCAAAATAAAATAAATAAATAAAACCACCCACGGTACAGCAATGAGATGTGTGTGCAAACCCTCACATCAGTCGTGCTAGTGAAGTGACAAGACACAAGGCTATATGGGCACCAATGCTGAGTGTTACAGACAACATCTCCACAGACAGAACAAGGTACTGAGAAGAGGGGCAGGTGAAGACACAGAGCCCAAAGGAATAAAAATGTGGCATTTCCACCAGCTCACCTATTGTTGCTGCAAGTTCTGGATCAAAGGTGTCATCTGTGAACCTCAGGAGCAGGCTAAAAGAGAGTTAAAGACAGTTAGGACCATAACTTTTTCTTTCTAATGATACCTTATATATGTCCAAGGCTCTCCTACACAGCGCCTGAAGAGTCAGCTATCTGCCTGTTGCTGAAATCTGTGTTGGCACACTCTTCTGAGAAAACAACACTGCAGCTTCCAATGCTGAATCGTCTCATGGGATTAAAAAAAAAAAAAAAATCATTATTTTACTCGACGTTAAATAAAAAGAGAGGTGTAAAAGCACAGCACACTGTAACAAAGAACAAGACAGCAAGGTGTGGACCAAACAGCAGGGAGAAAGATGAGGGTGGCCAGGCAAATGCTGGGTAAGGCCCAGAAACCAGTCAGGCCACTGGACTACCAAAGGCTTTTAGGAGAGTATGACAAGGACTGCTCTACAGTTTGAAAGTTCACCTCACCCAACTGGAGGGAAATTACCAAGGAGATAACTGCCACACACTGAGGAAGAACTAGCCTGGGAAGCGGTGGTAAGCAAAGTAGCAAAGAATGGAAAAAAGGGAACATGGCCGACTAGAAGGTCCACAGGTCTGCAGCTCCAGCCCTGCTCTCCTCACTGCCCCGCAGTGAGAACTTACTCCAGGCTTTTGAAACCTACACTCCTAAGCGAGGCTTTCACTAACCCCCATTCACACAGCTGACAGCCTCCTGCAGCACAGTCCACCAGCCTGCCTGTGAGGGAGCCCAGGAACAGCCCCTAGGGAGGTGAGCACAGAACACAGCAGCTTCCTGCTAGGTGCCAAATGCACTAACTCTTCTTCCTGGTTCTGTTTTACCTCCTACAAAACAGGAGCAATACAGTCAGAATTCTGCGATTTCTACTTCACATCTGGACGTAACTTTTTATTTACTGCCAGCGTGAGGTAAGTGACACTGGCTATATGTACCACACTTAAGGCTAGGCCGCAGTGGACGGCCAACACTAAATGAACTCAATGGCATTTGGGAAGGTTTGGTCCCAGATTGCTTCTTTTGGGTATTTTTCATTTTACTGGTCTTATGCTTATATTTTAGGGTTTCTGATTTTGTGCTTGTAGTGTGTTTGTATGTGTGTGTGTGTGTGTGTACATATATTTCTTATGCTTTTTTTTTAATCTGTGTTTATTGGCCTGTTTACTAAAGAGAGAAAGAACGCACTGAGTTGGATTGGACAGATGGGGAGGTAGGGAGGATCTGGGAGAAGACGGGAGGAAAAAGCATGAGCAGAATATGTTAAAAAATATTTTAAAAAAATATTGCAGGGCATGGTTGGCATACCTTTAATCCCAGCACTTGAGGGTAGAGGCAGGTGGATCTCTGAGTTTGAAGCCAGCCTGGTCTACAGAGCTTGCTCCAGTCTAGGCTACACAGAGAAACCCTGTCTAAAAAAAAAAAAAAAAAAAAGATAAAGATAAAAATAGGTAACAAACTTAATAGCTACTTATACAAAATACCTTATCCCAATGCACCCTACCTAGAATTTAAGAACAGAAAAGAAATACCTCAATACTTAGATCATCACAGAAAACTGCCACAAAAATGCAGGCTAGCCAGGTGTGATGGTGCACATCTTTATTTCCAGCTCTTGGGAAACACAGGCAGGCAGGTGTCTACAGGCTAGCCTGATCTACATAGTGAAGCTAGGATAGCCAGGGCTACACAGAGAAACTTCTCTCTCTCTCTCCCTGTCTCTCTCTCACATACACACACGAGAGAGAGAGAGAGAGAGAGAGAGAGAGAGAGAGAGAGAGCGCTAATGTGATCTTGTGTAATAGTAGCCATAGCAATACCATAAAAACTGCAGGCAATTAGAACAGTACTGAGATTTTAAATGAACAATATGTTTGACACTGGTCCAGAAATGCTTCTTCTGTACTTACTTGTCCTTACACAAGATCTTGTCACTAAAGGTATTTTGTCAGCAAAGACAGGAAATTGGTGTGAAGCAATCAACACTTTAATGCAAACCGTGAGTACAGCCAAAGGTATAGCAGCAGCCCCAAGTGTATTCTAAACTCTATGTAGGCATCTGTATAAGCACAATCTATTTCTCTATTAGATTATGAAAGAAATCTACAACCTCCCTCCCAAATGACTAAGAATTCACTGTTCTTACACAGTGTATTTACATAAAACATTCCTATTTTCAAAGTTAAAAGAGAAAAATATTCTTCATGTAGAACAACAGATGGAAAAGTATACCACACAGACAATATTAAATTTACTATAAACTGAGAAAAGGTCAGATTTTTTTTTTTGAGGGGGGGGGGAGGAATGCCTGAAATGTCAGAACTTGGAAGGCTGAAGCAAAAACAAAAACAAAACAAAACAAAGAATTGCTCCAAGTTTGAGGCCAGCCTGAGTTAGGCAGTGAGTTCCAGGTCAGCCTGAGCTAAGATTGTCTAAAACATTCAAAAATAAAAGGGAGACAAGAGGACTGAAGAGATGGCTCAGTGGTTAAGAGCATTTGCTGTTCTTCCAGAGCACCCACACCATTCCCAACACCCACATCCGGGACATCACTACCCTGGTAACTCCAGCTCCAGGGGAACAGATACCCTCTTCTGGCCTCTGAGGGGACCTGCACTCACAGACACATGAATAAAAATAAAATAAGTATTTAAAAATCAATAAAGAAATACTGTGATTATAGCTTATCTATATTTCTTACTGTAAAAATAAAATCCACTTAAAAATGGGAGGAAAAGAAATGTGGAATGGATAGCATTTTACATAATAGATTTCTGTGTTTTATTCCAGTATTTGATATATTTTGCTACACTCTGACTTCACCAAGCGAAGCCATAGAATCATAGCCTTGAACTTTACATTTAACCCTATCTGAGGGGTTTCTATTCCAGCCAGGCTCAGTTATCAAACACAGGTTACAAACGGAGCACGCTTCCTTCACAATCCTCACCTCATGCCTACTGGAACTTTCCAATACCCTAAGATAAACTAAAAAAAAAAAAAAAAAAAAAAAAATCCACTTGTTCAGATGAAGGTTATCCTGTGCTTACAACTCAATGACCCACTGCCCTCTGCTGTGATCTAACTCAGAAACAGAAACCTCTACCAGTTAGAACGACCCTTCAAGATAAAGTCTATGACAAATGTTTCTGTATTATCTGCCTTAAAAGGCAGAGGTTTCTGTTAGAGTCTTTTATTCTTGTCATATCCACAAAGGTCAGTGGTCAAGGCTGTTTTCCACAGTATATCACAGACCAATATTCTAGCTCCCTAAGTTCAGTACTGGTTTGTTGTTGTTTGGTTTTTAGAGGCAGGGTTCCTCTGTGTAGCCCTGGCTGTCCTAGAACTCGATCCACAGACCAAGCTGGCCTTGAACTCAGAGATCTCCCTGCCTCTGCCTCCCAAATGCTGGGATTAAAGGCATGTGCCACAACATTTAGCCCAATATTGTTTTAAGTGGGCTAAAATGTTAATTTTTTTTTCAGTGAGCAATTCATAATTCATCATTAGATACTAAAAGAAAAAATATTTAAGTGCATTTGACTCAAATAAATTGTCTAGGGGAGTAAGTAGGAGAGAGATCCACTCAATACACTTTGAAGGGGTAATCAGAAGAACCAGGTCTGGTATAAAGCCTGTATTCCTAACGCTTGAGAGGCTGAGACAGGAGGACTGTGAATGCCAGCCAGACTATGCAATGAGAACCTGTCTCGAGAAACTAAATAAAATTACACCAATAATACAGGGGGAACTCCAGCTATGTAGTCAACTGTACCTGGTTGGCCTTCTAGAAAATTCCAACATACCTCAGTTTCACCCTTTCAATACACTGTCTCAACCAACCACATACTAGATTGAGCTGACAACCTGTTCTTCTTGATTTCAAAAACAAGGTCTAGGCAGGCCTGGTGACACATGCCTGTACTCTCGATGCTCTGGAGGCTGAGGAGGAGGACTCTTAGTGTGAGGCCAGCTAAGCGGCATAAAAACGTCCAGGCCAGCCTCAGTCACGCTCTACTTCAAAAGGGAGAAGGCAGCAAAACAAATCTGATAAAGGAAAATCATGAAGGTGTTCCAAGCACACTAAAACTGTGCTTGGAACATAAACGTTTTAACATTCACGTGTGTATAAAGAGTCATCACAAAGATTTTATTTGTTACTTTCACACACCCATTCTGTTTTCATAGAAAGTTCCTTTAGTTTGTTCCTTGGTATGCAAAAACATGTCACTTACAGGACACTAAAAGTAAACATTAAAGGCAAACAAACTATGAAAATAGATTGTCACGCTTTTAAAAATTCAGAAATAATTGGGCTTATTCAGTAAGTTTGCAAACCCTAAAAATCTACATTTTTATAAAGTGCTTTGTAAGTTATTGGAAAGCTCTCACAAGGAAAAGTCAAATACAAAACTGTTAAAAAGCTTCCTGGGACTTACTACTGTTTAAAGATCAAGAGAAACTCAAATGACATTTATTCATAGTCGGCGGGCAAGGCTGACTTCACCTGAAGAACTTTGCTCAGACCTGGATGAGATCACAGCCCTCTGGCAACGCCCACCTAGGTCCACCTCTGACCCAATGCACAACTCCACCGTCAATGCTATCCTCCCCCAAAGACTGAGTCAAGGCAAAAAAAGACAAAGTAGTGTTTCTCCTTTCTATGTGTATGATTCCGCAAAGCAAGAGCAATCTCACTTAAAGGTGGCCCATCACTCACGTACCCTGTACGTTAAAAGACATTTTCAAGCAGATCTTTCGCTGCCAACTACTCAAACAAATAAAACATGTAACAACAGGCTACGCGGAAAAAGGCCAGGAACGTGATCTAAGAAGTCACAAAAGTTTCTGTGTAGAACATCAACTGAAGGACGGTTCTATGGAAATCGCAATGTGATAAACTTGCTGGCCTGCAGAAGTGACAGGCCGGCCGGATTCTAGGGTTGACAGACAAGCTAGAGTTTAGGGGTGACGGGCCCAGCGGACTCCAGGAGTGACAGGCCGGCTGGACTGTAGAAGTGACAGATCGGCCGGACTCTAGGGGTGACCGGCCGGCTGGGCTCGGGTCGCGTCGGCGGGGCAGGCCCGAGCCCGGCCGCCAGGCTGGGAGGAACCCAGCCTGCGAGGCCTCAGTCGGGCGCGCCCGGCCGGGGCGGAGCCAGCAGGGCCGCGGCGACCGTTCCGGGACAGCAGCCCGCAGCCCCCAGGCCGAGGGCCCGCCGCGCACAGCCTCACCTGGACTTGCCCACCCCGCTCTCTCCGATGATGAGGATCTTCAGAGTAGTCAGCACGTCCTCGTCCATCCTGCGCCCGCTCTACTCCGACCCAACCCCGGGCCCCGTCTGCGATCCCCGGTGTCGGCGAAGGCGGCCTGCGCATGCGCACCTCCGTGACCACGGCCTCCTCTCCCACTGGGCAGCGGAGGCAACAGAGCAAGCGCCCGGCTCCGCCCAGAGGCGGTTCTGCGTCTGCGCACTCCCCAGAGAGCGGGCGTTTTTCCGGGTGGCTCTTGGGCTGCGCAGCGGCAGGTGCACCCAGCTCCTTCCACGCCCAGCCGCCACTCCGCCCACTTCCGGCTACGTGCTCGGACGACTGACGTTACGTCAGCACGCTCCCGACGGCCCTTGCGGTAGGCAGACCTTGGTCTCTGCGGTAAACTGGTGTAGACACAGGCACAGTAGGACCCAGTAGCTTCCTTGTCCCCTTGCGGACCCCCACTGCCTCCTTACATCAGGGACAACATTTTTAGAATCACAGCTTTTAGAATTGTTGGTAGTCTGAGTCCGGAAAAGTGCTCCGGGCAGTGTGGGCAGGCAGTAAACTCTTGGCTTCCTGTTTATAATCCGCGTATTAGTTGATCTTGTAAGGAACTTAAGGTAGATCCAGTACGCGCAAATCATCGGTGCATTATTTATTTATTTATTTATTTATTTCTAATAAAAGCGACTTTCACTACTTTGAGAATTCTACGCATACGTCACCTCCTCCACTAAGCGGTAAATTGAAGTTGCCACAGCTCTATAAATTAACTAGCAAAGCGTATGTCTTCCTTGTGGGTGTAGCTAATGTCACGTGTGATGGACATTTGGTTAAAGAAAAAATGCAAGTAAAACTTAGGATCAGTTAAGAAATAATTTCCTAGCCAGGCATGGTGGCACAAGCCTTTAGTCCCAGCACTCAGGAGGCAGAAACAGATTTTTTTTTTAGTTCAAGGCCAGTCTAGTTTACACATGGAGTTCCAGACCATATCTCAGAAGCCAAACAAAACAAAATTATTATTCTTTTAACAAATGCCTTGTAAAGTTCCTAAGATAACCAAATAGTCCCTTCAGAGATGTCTCCTTAGAGCAAGGTTTCTTAAAATAACAGAGTGAAGAATCAATGTGTGTGTGTGTGTGTGTGTGTGTGTTGCCCCTAGATAGCTCCTGGATCAACGCTGCGTCTTCCACTTACTTGGATGAATCTTACAGTTATATTTCTGGTTTAGCCATTTCTCCACAAGCTCAGGCCAACACACAACTGCCAAGGTATCTCCCTCCTGGATGTTTCCCAAGAAAACATGCCACGGACCAAGGTTGACGCTGAACTCCTTGTCCTTCATTATCTTGACTTCCTTCATAACAAGTAACACTAACACCTACGTAATTTCCTTTCCCACACGCCCACATCCTCCTAGCCCTCCCAGTGCCAGCATGCCTGAAGTTACTTGTTCCTGCTTATCAGCATTACCACAGCCATCTTCAGCTGTGCAACACGCATCCTTGGACTTGTTTCTTCTCTCTTCCTGTTGCGATACCGCAGCCAGAATGAAGTGTTTTAAACGGTGGCTGGAGACATACCGCTGTTACCCCAGCTTCACCTCTTGCTGCTCTGTGCCTGGAATTTTCCATTCCACTCAAAACACATTTTCAGTGATCGGGAACCAGGCACAGTTCTGCCTGGGGAGTGCTCAGCCTGGCCCCTTTCCCCTCCACATAGTTGCACACCTTTGCCAAGACAACTTGTCCAGGCTCCAGGTCTTCAGTCTCTTCCCCTGGACTTCTTCCTCCACACCCCAGGCCTGAGTTACCTGCTGCTCCCAGAAACCCCACTAGTGTCCAGTGCTTGTACGGCAGTGTGTACCCTACAGTATCACAATTGTGTCTGTCTGTGCTTCTTTATGTTTACATGAGGGGCATGTGTGAGAGAGAGAGAGAGAGAGAGTGTGTGTGTGTGTGTGTGTGTGTGTGTGTGTGTGTGTGTGTACAGGAGTGCAGTTGGCCACAGAGGGCAGAAAACTACTGAACATGAGTACTGGGGACTGACCCTGGGTGCTGCAGAGGAGCATTTTTTACACTGAGCCATCTCTTCAGCCCCACAACACTTGATTCTTAAAAGCAGAATTACATAATGCCCTGTCATTATTGTTCTCTTGAGCATTTTTGTGCAATCCTAGGCCTAGAGAACTTGCTTTTAAAAATATTCTTCCATTTTTCTTCCTTTTTTTTTTTTTCTTTTGCAGTTCTTGGGATGGGACCTAGGAGCTCATTTGTGTCCAAAACTATTTGATGATTTAAAAAAAAAAAATCACAAACCAACTTGAGAAATTTGGAAAAATCGTTTCTCACTTGTTACAATAGATCAGGATAGCTTTTAAAACTATCCTGAACATTTCAGTTGGGGGAAGGCCCCTCAATATCATCTGGCACACACTCATTAGGTTCTGCTGGACAGAAATAAGCAGCTGTGTGCTGATAAGTCAAGGGGGCCTTTAAGGAAATAATCTTAGGAAATGTCTATATGTGCTCAACGTAGATGCAGTTTAAATACATTCTTCAGGGACTAGTGAGATGGCTCAGGTGGTGAAGAACCTCCTGGAGACTAACAACCCGAGAGCCAGGCGTGGCAACACTGACTCAGGAAGCTCTAGATGGGTCAGGGAGACATCCAGCCAGCCCTGGAGCTCATAGGCCATCTAGCCAAGCCATTCAGTAAGCTCTGGGATCAGTTGGGAACCCTGCCTCAAAAAATACATAATTAATGGAGGACCTCAGGAAAACATCCATGGTGACCTCTGACCCCTGCATGCATAAACATATGGACACACACACATATTACATTTTCAATCTTTATTATTATTATTTTAATCTGAGGCTCTGAAACCCAAAGAAAGCAGAGGACTGACACTTGCTCCCTGAAGCCTGCAGCAACCAGAATGAGCTTCATGAAAGAAAAGGGGTGGGGCAGTTCATTTTTGTTAAGAATGGTGGACAGGATCTTGTCCTGCTATGGATAAGAAACAACAGCATGAAAAGACCCGCTTGTGGGCAGTGTATAATCAAGAAATGGAAACAAGGAGTGGGAGATTGGCTGAGTACTGTTGGTGCCTTATCAAAGGGGCTGGTGCTTTATTTTAAGGATAGTGTTTGTATCAAAAGGCATTACAGATCAGGGCAACATGTAAAATTTAATCTTTTATGGAAAGAGTCTCTCTCTCTCTCTCTCTCTCTCTCTGTGTGTGTGTGTGTGTGTGTGTGTGTGTGTGTAGTAAGGAAATAGAGGAATAAAGACATAGGGGCCTCACAGGAAATTATCTAAAACCCTGAAGTTGTAGGGGTGGGGGAGGGGGCTGCTGGCAATAAAGAGATGCCTACAAAAACACGGGAAAAGGGAAGACAGAGGTACCAAATGCTTCTCCGATGTTTTCCACCACTGATGAGAAAGAAGATCCCAGAAAGAAGTGAGAGGGAAGCGTGTGAGGTTGACATCACCAAATTATCTGTGAGCATTGACCTTGGAGGCAAATTCTTCCGAGCTTTTGCAGAGCTACAGTTCTGAAATCCAGGGCAGCATTTTAAAGAAATGACACTGTGTATTCTTTGGAATTTTTACATATGAATACAGTGTCTCTTGATCATATCTACTCCTCCCTCATCTAACTCCCCCAGGCATCCCATGACTTCTTGCTCTCACCTTCATGTCTCTCTTCTTTCATAACCAACTGAGGCCAGTTAGCGTAGCTCATGTGTGCACAGGTGTGGGGCATGGGCAAGATGCCAGTGACACCCCTGAATAAAAGGGACCTTTCCTGAACCAGTTGCCATCATCTGCTAACAGGCCAACAGCCAATATCTCCTCCTAAGGTGACAAGGTAGTGTTACAAACTGAGAACCTGCACTAGGTCCCAATGGACCACCTAAAATCCAAGATGGAGTCACTGCTGCTGAAACTACACACCCCAAACAGAAGCTAAGATTGACAGTGGAAGGAGTCTGGATTCAAGAACAGCCAACTTCCCCAGCAGCCCAGCTTGACTCAGCAAGATCCAAGGTTAACGGTTAACATCATCCAGAGTGCCCCAGTGTTTGCTGTTTTTCCATTGTCTCTCTGTTCTCACTTCACGGGGAGGGGAAGATGACTCTGAAGTCATTAGTTGCCTCTTGTCCTTTGTTCTGCTCCCTTACAGCCCACACCGAACTCCTCTGCTTAGCCCATCCACACACTTAACTCCGTGGAGGCAAGCCTTACCTACTCTAACACTGAAAATAAGCCCAGTTAAAAGTTTAGACAAAGTAGCGATTATTGGTCTTTCCAGGCAGAGCGCAAGATACCAAACAAAGGCAGCTAAGGAGAGGATGTGCTAAGGGATAATTTGCCCTTGATGGCTTCCTTCTCCGTGACACTCTGTTGTCTTTGAGTGACTGGGAAACAGTCAGATCCATTCACATACTTTGAACAAGGCTGATCTACACACTAGCATCAATGCTTCCCACTACACACCAAAGCCATCATCTGCTGACAAGGCAACATCCTTACCAATGTCCCTTTCCTTTCCTTCTCAATTTGCTCTGTCTCCCTATCCCCTCCTCCTCTCCTCCCCTCCTTCCACTTCCTCTCCTACCCTCATCTCCCCTCCTCTCCTCTCCTCCCCTCTCCTCTTCCCTCCTTTTTTCTCTTTTCCCTTCCTCCTACTCCTAAATCCAGAGCCTCATGGACACTAACCAAACACTAGAACAATAAAAATTTTTCATACCATATGATTATAACTGTAATGTGTGCCTCCCGTCAGATGACGAACAAGTCAGCAAAAAGACTGGGAGGGGCCAGAAAGTTGGCTCAGCACTTAAAGAATGCTCAACCACGAGGATTAGAGTTTGGATCCCAGCCCCATACCCAGTTTTTCAAAACTTCTACAACCAAAGCTCCAAGTGATCCAAAGCCCATTTTTGGCCTCTGTGGGCGTGCACGTTCTCCTTCTCTTCCCCTTTGCCATTCCCCATCCCTCCTCTCCCTCCTTCCTGTCCTCTCTCTGAAAAAAAAATAAGCACAGATGTACACACATAAACATAAAAAAGAAACATTGTTTTTAAAGATTGGGAGTTGTGAGGAGGGAGGGCACCAAGTTTAGGGCAGAGGATTTTAGGACAGTGAAACCCTTTTGCATA